GCGCCGGACTCCTCTGCACTCCCTCCCCGGCTCTTTATTTTTCTACACTTCCACTTCAGCCATTCTCTCGAGGGGATGGAGCCTTCCTCCTCCTCCTCCTCCTCCTCCTCCTCTTTGATTTTTCTTTTTTTGCCGGTTCTTTGGTTACTGCCCGCGGTTCATGGCGCATGGATCTCTTCCGCCTTCATTTGAGCTGACCTCGGTTGTTCTTTTGGTTTGGTCCCCCCCCTCATTTACATCTTTATTTTGACGGCAAATAAAACCAGTCTCTTTGACGTTTGACGGGGCTTGTGCTGATAGTTTTTTTCCCCCCAATTTTTTAAACAGTTATTATTATTATTCTTTGTCACTCGAGGGCTTGCTTCCCCCCCTTTTCCTGCATCCCCTCTGCCGGCGGATGCCGGGAGCTGGCTGTCAGCTCCAGCCCTCTCCTCCAGCTGTGCGCCGGCAGCCAGCGATGTTGTTTATGGGCATGTTTAATGCATGCGGGTGCGGCGCTGGGGAAATTACAGCAGAGCCGGGCGAGGAGGAAGGGAAGGGAAATGATGGTGCAGCTGTGGCGAGCACGGGGGGAGCAGACCCTGCAAGGGGGGAGCACCCCGGCATGGGTGGCTCACCCCAAACTGAGCACCCGAGGAGGCCGGGGCAGCGGGATCTTGGCCCTGGGGGAGAGCAGGAACCTGCTGCCCAGAGGTGAGGAGGGACGGAGGGGATGGAGGAGGGGATGGAAGGGGTGGAGGAGATGGAGGGGAGGATGGAGGAGCTATGGAGGGGATGGAAAGGATGGAGGGGATGGAAGGGATGGAGGAGAGGATGGAGGAGCGGTAGAGGGGATGGAAGGGGTGGAGGAGATGGAGGGGAGGATGGAGGAGCTATGGAGGGGATGGAGGGGGTGGAGGAGAGGATGGAGGAGCGGTGGAGGGGATGGAGGAGCTGTGGAGGGGATGGAAGGGGTGGAGGAGATGGAGGGGAGGATGGAGAAGCTGTGGAGGGGATGGAGGAGATGGAAGGGGTGGAGGAGATGGAAGGGGAGGAGGGGATGGAGGAGAGGATGGAGCAGCTGTGGAGGGGATGGAGGAGATGGGGTGGGAGGGGACAAAGGGATGGAGGAGACCCAGAGGAGGAGGCAGAGGGACGGGTGCTGCCTGGGGCTCGGCCGTTCAGGCAAACCTCCTGTGGGCATGGTCAGGCGTAATAAAGCTTAAAATGGTCCTGTAAAAGCAAATTGCAGAGCTCTGCTTCCCGGCTCAGCCTGGACCCTGCGAGATGCTTTGCAAACTGGGGGGGGGGGCGGACCCTGAAGGCAGAGACACCCCCCCCCAAAACCCGGGGAGAGACCTGCCCCCAAACCTGGGCAGAGACCTGCGTGGGGCTGGGGACAGGGACGGGGACAGGGACAGGGTGCGTTAACACCCACAGAGGTCCCATCAGCCCTTCTGAGTCCCCATCGCAGCCCTGGGACCTTCGCGGGCTTTGGGCAGGGGAAAGGGGGGGACTGCTCCAGCCCTGGAACCCCATCCCTGCCCCGGGGACGGCATCACGGTGCCAGTGCCTGGGTCGAGAGCACAAAATCCAGGCTGGAAGCACCTCGTCACGTTTATTCTCCTCTCAAGAGAGGAGTGGGGAGGAGAGGATAATCCCCGCTAATCCCATCAGCGGCTTGTGTGCAGGAGGAGCGGGTTCGGAGGGCTGCAGCGGTGCTGGATCTCAGCACCCCCTCCCCGTGGTGGCCATGTTCTGGGACGCTGGGAAGCTTGGCTCGCCCCGACGATGCTGGTGCGCTCGTTGGGGGGCCACCAGTAGGTCCTGGGGGAGGAGAAGACCCTTGTGTGCCCCTTCTGCAGAGCATCAGCCAGGCACTCGGGGAAGCACCTCGGCCCCGGCGCCGTCTGGGTGCTGGGGGTGCTGCTGGGTTTGGGTGCTGGGCTCCCACCCTGCGCCGGCAACATCCAGTGAAGCACACCCCTGCTTTTCCAGCTTCATTCCCGCATTCCGGCTGGGCCGTGACCACGGGAAGGCGATTAACCCCACGCTGCGCGCCCCGACCGAAGCCTCCCTGCCCCAGCCCCTGCGAGCAGGACGTGAAGGGTGGCTCGGCCAAAACCCCGCCGGCCACTTTTCACACCGTGGCTTGAGGCTCGCTCATGCAGGGAGTTTAATTTGCTGTCGGAAGCACGTGCGGGCCAGCGGCCAAGAGCAGGCACGGCTCCGGCGCGCAGCTTGGCAGGGCGAGGATGGCTATTGAGCAAAGCCAGGTGAGGAGGAGGAGGAGGATGGAGGACTTTGCAAGGGGTGTGCGTTGTGCAGCCCCACGGCTGCCGGCTCCGGGCCGTGGCTGGCAAACCCCCTGCAGCGGTTATTTAGCAATTCGTGCCTGGGCAAAGCTCGGCAGAGCCTGTAGCCAAGCGACCTGGGGGCCGCGATATTAACCCGGGCTGGGCCGGCAGCACGGCTGCCGCTCGCCCCCCAGG